CGCTTCAAATGTCTTATTCCTCGTTCTAGAATAGGGGGCTAAGCAACCGGGGCGAAATGACTTGGAAGCGAGATCACTGGTAACCAGTGGAACCTTGATATAGCAAACGTCTATATAACAAAGTCATCGGTACTACGAACATTACTCTACGCTCCAGTTATAGTAAAATATGTGGAAAAGAACCTCGTTATAGTGAACATATTTTCCCAGTTCCTTGGCATTACATTATACTGTACAGTTTTGCGCAAACGCTTGAAAATGTGCCCCCTGTGAGGCTGTTATGAGCACCCACTTCTTTCATTCACTCTGGTTTCTGTGACAAAAGGAAGGAACGACTGATTCTTCAAGTACTTTTTTTTATTGTTTATGATGATATTTCTCAAATGTTCATTATTCTCTTTGTTCAGGAACAATGATAACTACGATGGCGTGGAACGACAACACCAATATGTTGTCAGCGTTTCAGGATGGTCGATTTATTGTCTGGTATTATCCTAGCGCGGTGTATGTGGACCAGGACATCCTGCCAAAAACACTTCTGGAAAAAGATTCCAGGTAAAAACGGAAACAAACCCAGGGGGTAGTTAACCCAAGGGGTACCAAATCCTAGGGGTAACCAAGTTTCATCTCAAAGAACTGTAACCAATAAGTTTTTTAATATTCCAATCAGTACGGAGCTTAAGCAAAGACGTTTTTGAGCGATGCACGTCAACCGGAAGTAATGCTTCTCCCTTTTTTCGTGTTGTAAAATTCAACTTCCGGTTGACATGCGTCGCTCAAAAACGTCTTTTCTTAAGCTCCGTAGTATCTTAGGTTGGTTAAGACTCAAAAAAGAGGAGAAGCACTGGTAACCGCACTCTCTCCAGTTCCCTCTCAATTTTCCGAAGAACAAGAAGCCCAATATTGCTGATTTTAAGTAAATTATTATCTATTTAGGAATAACTCATTGTAATTTTCTCCCCTTGTAGTGATTTCGGAAAAAACCCACAGATTGTCAGTTTCTTGGAAAACCACTGTACGATGAGAAGAGCGGATGGCTCGCTTTGCAGCACCATGTAAGTAGAAATTATCTGTAATCATCAGTTAATCTGTACGAAAACTTTAAGTGCTTAACCCATGAAACGTCTGGGGAGCTCTCAGAACATAATTGTACTTTGGATATCGAATTGAAATTTGGCAAGGAAACCCGAGCACCGGTGGGAAACCTCTCGGAAGAGAGCCAACAACAAAATCAACCAGCGTATAAACACTGAACCCAGGTTTTGAATTGGGCCACTTTGGTGCAGCAAGCGAGTGTTCTAGCCACTGCTTCTCTCTTGCTACTTATTAAATTATATCGCAAATCTAGGAGGCTTGTGTAAGTTGCTGTTAAAACCAGTTACATGTATTTTCTGATGACCTCTTTCTACAGAATCTCACCTTACCCTTCAATGCTTCACAAGTATGCCAGCGGATCTAAATGGGAAGATGCCATTCGACTGTGTAGATTTGTAAAGGTAACAGCTTATTCCCTATTCATCGTTCTGTTGATGTAGTTACTAGCACTTCTGTAGCATGCATAGATAGCATTTCTTTACGACCTTAGGTTAGAACTAAAAATGACTGAGGAGTGGTGGGAAGGGCCTTCTTTTTCTCTACTCTCACTTCCCCCACCTATTATTATTTTGCTTTGTAATTGCCCTCGTCCTCAAATGTCTCTTTCATTTGGCCTGGATCAAGACTCACTGTAGCCAGACTTACTGTGGTATTTTTTTCTGCCTTCAGGATCCAGTTTTGTGGGCTTGTCTTGCTACTATGGCGGCTTACGCGAAGGATCTTAACACGGCAGAGACGGCATATGCTGCAATAGATGAAGTATGTATCGTCACCATGAGTCAACTCGTTCTTTATATAACCATCTTTTAATTAACCTTCATAGAATAGAACCCTGTCCGACAAGCACGGCGGCGAAAATGGCCCCATAAAGTAACGATGATATGAGCAAAGTCATCACCTCTTCACGCGCAGTTTCTCTGCACTTGCGTTTTCATCATAGCTCGCAGGCTAAAAGAGATTTGACTGTTTTCATTTGCCTTGTTCTATAGGCAGATAAAGTCCAGTACATCAATCACATCAAAGAAATACCAACGAAAGAAGGAAGAAATGCTGCCATGGCGTTATTTTGTCGACAGCCGCAGGAGGCAGAGACTATTCTTCTTCAAGCTGGACTCGTGTACAGAGCAATACAGATGAATATTGATCTCTTCAATTGGGACAGGTATGACTGCTTTTTTAAGGCGCGGAAGTTGAAGCGATAGCAAAAATTGGACGAAGGGGAAGGGGAAAGGGAAAAAAGGAAATGTGAAATCCCCACCCTTCCCCCTTCTTTCTTCTTTTTTTTTTTCTCTCGTCCCAACTTTCTCGACCAACTCGCGCAGAAACGCTTGCTACGCAGGCTTAAGATTATACAAACAAGCATCGGTTCTTGTTTCAGGCAAAAACGCAACCTTATCTCAAGAATTGAGGCTACCAGTTTGTGAATCTTAAATCTAGTATGCTACTTAGCTGTGAGAAATAGTATTTAATATATAACGAACCAAAGTCGTGTTTCTTTCAGGGCTCTTGAACTTGCTGTGAAACACAAGACACATGTGGATACAGTTCTGGCTTACAGACAAAAATACCTGGAAAACTTTGATAGAACAGAAAAAAGCAAACGATTCCTTCAATATGCACAAGGGGTAAGATGAGTTTGAAGAAATCTTCAATTGTATTTGTGTTAACTGGAGTCGTAGCCTGCGGGAGCAGCTGCCTATTTCAGCTTTTGTTTCACACGCGGTGAAGAGTGTTGTGGATGTAAGTGATTAAACAGGAAATTAACACATGTGCTCGCTTTAGAATAATCGAGACGTCCAGATGATGCACGAGTTGTTTTCAACTGGGTTATAACGAATTTCGAGATTTTGCTGCACTTAGCTTCACAGCTCGAGCTGAGTTCGTGGAAAATGTGTCAATATTGGAAACCTTTTAATTGTTAACCTTTTTTGTGTTGTGTTTCACAGGTTGAAGTTGACTGGGAGAAAATCAATGCCAAGATCGATATGGAGCTTCAGAAAGAAGCCGCGCGACCAGGGGCCAAACCATATAATGGTTGAGAAAAGTCTACCTTCTTTGTTCTGTAAATAGCACACTCTTAGCTTTTCAGTGACTAAAACGTTTTAGTTGGACTTGTCTGCATAGATTCTTGTCCAGTTTGTCTGGAAATTGGGGAAAGTGCACACTCTCTTTACGCGATTATGCATTGTTTTGTGCATTACGAATAAATACTTGGACTTGAACTCCACTTTTTAAACTGTAACCTTATATTTGTCTAAGCTGCAGTGCTAGTTATCGAGAGACAAAGTGGGGCAAAAAGTGGATTTAGGAATTTACACTTTCAGTGTACATTCATAGAAATGCCCTTTCTGCAATATTGTCAAATACTTACAGAAATTGTAGATAGAGCACTAGACTCAAAAGACAAAAAGGAATACACTAGTAAGTTGACCTCTTTTGTTAACAACAACATGTACAGTTTCAAAGTGTCTTTACTGTAGGCCTAGCCCCCTGCAACTGCCAAAAAATGTTATAATTATTTTCCTAGATAGCTAGCTTACAGGACTTCTAGAACCAGTAAGACATAAGTTAAGTTCAAGGTCCAAACTCAAATTTAGTGTTAGTTATGCGTTGGGTCATACACTCTTTATAGTATGTGTGCAGTTTATCCTGGATCAGACAAAGCCTTTCTGGGTTTGTAGTTTGATGTTTAGATCAGAGTTAGGTCTTCCCTCAAGGTCTGTTTAGCCTGTTCTAAGCAACCATGTAAAGGAGATTGCATAAAAAGAAGTGATCAGTGGAAAAACTGCTCCCTTTTTCCTGTCATTCTCCACTGTTTGAATACCTGGAACAGGTAAAGGTCTGTTTTATTTGCTGTAGTACAGTCTAATGTGGAAAATTTATCCTTTGTCAGAACAGAATTATTTATATTTTTGAAAGTTACTGTAGACTGTTTGATGTTTGCAGGGAAAGATCTACAACCTTCCTAGCTGTATTTTATTTATTTCTATAACTAAGTATTTGTTGCAAGTCCAAAAGATTTAAAAAAAAAGTGGCCCCTTTCAATAAAAAAAGTCTTTTTCAAGTTTAAATTATGTGTACATCATACAAGCTAAATAAAATTGCTAAATAAATAAACTAAAAGAAGAGATACTAGACTCTTTATTGTTTATTAATTTTATTCTAACGGTTAACAACACTACTTTATATAGTTACTATTTACACATATAATTCATTTTTCTTTGCCAAACAAACATTCGATGAACTGGTAGTAAAGATAATTCTCAATTTTTTAAATACTTATAACTAATATTCACTGAGAGTGGAGCTTATTTTTTTCACTGCTTCCTTTTCGTCTTTGTGAAACTGCAATGAAGTGGTTTTCATATTACCTTGTAAAACGTTCATACTCAAATTGCTTTGAAGTTTGTTCCCTCTACAAGTACAGATGAAAACATGCTTTGCTCATGTTCAGCTGACAATGACCTTATCTTGCCAAAATTGCACTACAGTAGCAATGTATATAAGAAAAGCTACTTTGTACTTCATTTCTCGCAATCTGGCCAAATTGCTTTGATTGTGCACTGAAACATTTGCATCTGTGCTCAAAACCAACATTGAATTTTTCTTGCTTCGCAAAATAATTACATCTGTGTGTCTTCACAGAGAATAGCAGCTCTCAAGATCATCATAAAACTGGTCACTGACAATTTTCAGGTCGTCATAACTCTAACACAGTCTTCACCAAGAGATTTTCTGTTGAGTTAGACGATTTATAAATAGTAACTTGGCCTTCACACTTGTTTGTATTGTGATGTCCAATTACTGTTACTCTTTAGCAGATAGATTTTGTGTCCAGCACAAAGATAATTGCACCTCCAATGATCCCAGCCGGTTCAGCTCTGCTTCTTGATAACTCATAAATGTTAGGGTGATGTGACTCCTAAGTCATCAAGTGATAAATTCTGTGTCCACTCATACAGTTTATCAGCTTGGTCTTCCCAGTCTTCATCTTCAAAAATATTCTCTGCTGATGGTTGAATTGTTGGCGACATGCCTTCCTCCATTTCATTCTACAGGAAAATTTGACAGTAATGCAGAGATTAGGAATTCTGACAGTTTCCTTTGTTAACAAATTACAGTTGAGCCTCTCCACAACCACCACCTTGGGGACACAAGAAAGAAGAAAGTGGCCGTTACAAAGAGGTGGCCCTTGTAGGGAGGTCCACTGGTATAAAAAAATAGCGGCCATTGTAGGGAAGTGGCTATTTAGTGGAGGTTTGACTGACATCACCAAGTTTTTTTCAGCAACAGTTTGTACCACATAAAGTGGAGAGCACATGGAACTGCATGTAAGCACAAAACCACCCTCCTAGACCCCCATGCTACTGTAACAACTTTTTCTACACAGTTTGGTCCCTTTAGGACTTGGTTTTTGAGATGGCACCTAAAATTCAACAATTGACCTCTCAATAACACTAAGGGGCCATAAAAGGTCTATTATTAAGTATTTACGTTAAATCTTTCATGTAGGCCTTCATAATGAACTATCAAAAATATTAGAGCGTATTTTCAGCTAATTCCAACTCACCAGTTTAGGTGAATCCATTCCATACATTTTTCTCATTTTAGCAACTCTTGCTTTAGCTTGCCGCGACCTCCTGATGGGAGATGGATTGTTGTAGTCTATTGGAGGCTTCTTCCTATTAACAAGTGAATAACAATAAAATCAGTGTCTCAATAATTTAAATATTTGATGTGACTCAAGCCACAAGTAAAGTAGGGTGTACTGTTTTAATAAACCCTTCGACCTTCATTTTAAACAAGACAACACAAGTTCCTCTATACCAACCTAACTAATTTTGTTATTAACCTTCTTCACATTAAATATCATATTGTAAAAAGTATTTTGCAATGGTTAACATGAGTCAGGTATACACCGAATATGAATCTGGCCCCAGAAATCATAAACATTCTGGAACAAAACACTCTGATTTCCATTTCCTTTTCCTGGACTAAACTTCGTAAAAACCACTACCATTCACAGCAGCACATACCTAGTATATACCTTATAAAATAATGATGGTACCCCCGCCTCACTTCCTCCACTCAGTAGGGGGGGGACCCTCTGAACAAGGTGCTCCCCCCAGCCACCCTTCAGGTATTTTTTTATCACACCATTGAGATGAGATCAAAACGTACTTAAGGACTCATAGTTCCTCCTACCTGTATATAGGTATAGCTTTGATGCTAGCAACTTGTATTTCCTGTGTCGCAGGTCTGAGTGACAACAGATCTGGACATTCCTCTGCTAGTCGGGAAGTCGTAACACCACACTCAACGAATCCAAAGATATCACGTACTATGCTCTGCCGTGGAATAGCTATAAAATAACAATAATAAAAAGGAATTTATGGCCAGTTATTTAAATATAAACTTATATTTTGGGAGATCAAGAAAAAAACTGCAGACACTAGTCAGGTGTTCCTACCAACCTACAGTATGGAGAGACCCATAGTAAGCTACAAGTCAGTCTGTTGATCATTCACTGGGTCATTCTGTGAAATACATTCTCCAAACTTCTTGGATTAGCAAAGGCATTTTATGTGGTGATCAGTGGGTACAAATCCTATCTCAAAGTTAGGGTCTTTCTGCAGATTAACAAAGGAACCAAACAATAGTCTCAGTTCTCCTGGGGGTTTTACTGTTTAGTTGTATTGTTTCATTTGTTGTACGTAATCTGTGCCTCAGCACCTACAGAAGGAACCCAAACTTAAATACACACCATCAAGTGTCAGCCTTCTCCATGTGTTAGATTTTCCACCTGTTTCTGCAGGACACTCATCCAAATGGCTCAAGTACTTAAATGAGAAGAAACGTAAATGTCAACAAAAGTCCACTGATTAAATGTTACATTTATTAAAACATGTAAAATGGGAAAACTCTCAAAGCAACTTTCTACTTATCCTTAGGCTCCCATCTACTTAAAATATAGTTAAAACCCTGCAGAGCAGGGTAATAATATCACAACAAATTAAAGGAATAATGAATCCTACTTAGACATCGATAAAAATTTAATGTTGTTTTCTAACATGGTGCACATAACTATGTTGATGTTATACAATTGCATCATTTTACTGTGAAGTTCTTGCATTACTGTATTCATTCTTTCTGATCACATTACGCCCTCCAATATACCTGCATGTAGTCCTTCATTGTTGTCACATCAATTTCATCTGTAATCCTGTCCTTTTCATGTTGGCACACGTCAGCGATTATTTGATCATAAAACTTCCTATTTCCCATGAGTTTGAGTGAGTCAGTTGCTGCCTATTTAAAAGTCAAAATATTTAACCTTATTTCAAACCACAATAAATTTTTGAATATTTCTTTGCTTCACTATTATAAGACCGGAACTTCAAAACAAAGGAGAATGAAAACTTAAAGGATAAAATTAACCCACAGAAGGGAAGGTATGTAAGAAATATAATAACCAATTTGATTATGTTTTCTATCTGATATCTATTACAGTATGCACTATCTATACATAAAAGGGCCATAGGTCATAAAGATTACAGCGGAACCTCCATTAAGCGGCTACTGCACCCCTGGGTACCAGAAAGTGGCTGCTCAATGGAGGTTGCCCGCTCAAAGGAGGTTCATCATAAATTAGCATAATCTTGAGCAGAAACATTACTTTATTTTGAAACAAACATCTGACAAGAGCAGCATCACTCGTGCAAGATCAGTTGCCACCTTCTGTTTCTGACTGTTTTTCCCTTCATCATATTCTTGAAATGAAGCCAGACTAAGAGGAGATCAGTGTATCAACAGGTTGATGGTCGCTTAATAGAGGTGAGAACAATGGGTAAACTCTCCTTGGGGTGGCTAAAAGATGACAGTAGCCACTTTAATAATAGAGATTCAAGTCCTCAACCTTTTGTACAATTATTTTGGGACTTTAATAACTGGCCACTAAATAGAGGGTGGCTTCTTAAATGGAGGTTGAACTGTATTTTGTTGGTAAACTACAGTGTAGAGCATCACATACCTCAGATGCAGGTTTGATGGCTTTTTTACCACAGTAATATTTAACACCTTGCCCACCACTATGAATAAAAATCTTAAACATGATGATAGGTGGGAATTCTGCTCCTCCAAATCTGTACAAAAGGAAATAATATAACAGTTTGTTCTTCCCATCAATCAGAACTTATCTAAAAAATTACAACACCTACAGTACTTTTGCTAGTGTCCAGTCTTTCATCAATACATAGAGGCATCAATGCTAATACACATTAATGGCCTGTTTACATGGAAGTGGGGGACCCCAGATAGGTGAGGTAACTTGTGGCAGGTCACTCCAACTATCATGCAAACGTGATCAAATTAAACTGAGAGATTGTATGGACAAGTGGGTTACCCCACGTGTCTAAGCAGGTTGCCTCACCTACCTGGGGTCCCCCACCTCCATGTAAACAGGCCCTAAGTTACTTAAAGATGCTCATTACTGCTTATAACACGGGGTTTACATAAAGAATTCTAGTAGCTGGAGAAAGGTGTTACATTACAGGAGAATATTTTGAAAAAGGCTGACATCCACGTCTGAATGTAAAATAGTCATAGGCTTCCGAACGTTAGCCGCAGATTTCTGCATGGTAAACGGATAATTCTCTGATCTCCAGTGCCTAATGAACACCCTGATAACAGGAGTGTCTCCTTTTACCATAACAGAAAAAATTAAAAAATGAGGTGAGGGAGGAAGGAAGGAAACCACAAACAAAAGGGGACAAATGCTCAATGAAAGTTCAGTGGGAGGGAAGTAATCCTTAAAATTGTGAAAATGGCGTGTTAAATATTTTAAGAAACACAATTATTGTGAACCCATACCGGAGGTACATACAAAAACACTTTCAAGTAAACTTACCTGAATCTTACCCTAGCCTGAACTACAGGATCTTTCAATAGATCTGCTTCAAGAGGGGAAACTTTGCGTAGCACTTCATAAGTAAGAGAATGTTCCTATAAAAAAACAACATTCAAGCTTAGCTACAGTAGTGCAACACCAGCCACTTTACCTTCAACTACTACACACATTGGCAAATGGTATAAGGCCTTCAAAAATCATTTCTCTTAGTCCAAAACCTACCGCTGCGCATATTGCGTATTTAAGCAGCTTGAACATTTGCTTATCACGATAGGAGCACCAAAACTGCTCAATTTTTCTTGCGGCCTCAATTCTTGTAAGCCTGCAATTCGAAGCAAGCAAAATCAATGAGAACTTCCATAAATCCTTTCAATTTACATATTGTATTATAAAGAGCTACCATCTTACCGTGAACCTGGAGGAGCCTCATTAAGATTCTGACCCATGTTTATAAAAAATAATGTAGAAAGTCAAGAAAGCACAAGTGAATATCTCCGAATCCAAGAGCGGGATGACAGTTCAGTCAGCAGCCATTTTGTTATTCTCCCACAATGCAGCTGGTTGCCATAGAAGCAAGAAAGGAGATATTTGTTGTCAGCAGATATTTGTCGCGGTGTATACGTACTTCATGTACGGAGTTCGATTTTAAAATTAAAAATGGCGGCCAACATGGCATATCCTTTGGGCCGTAAGCTTTTTGGAAGATTTCTAAACGTGAAAAGGTGCCATGCATTTTTTTTTTTGTAAATTTAAGATAAAACACATTTTCTGCAACTGTTTTTATTTGTCTTTTTGTTAGGAAACAGCTGTTAACTTTTGGCACTCAATATTCAACTGGTAAGCACACGTGTTCATCAAAATTTCTGTCCTCTATAATTTTATATCCTAGTTGTTTTATTGCCTACTTATGTTAAAATTAATTATTTTTTGACATTTTTTTAATTTATCTTTCCTCAAATGTCAGGTTTTTATAATAAAGTAGAGTTATTTTATTTATTATTTATTATTTTTATCTTTACTTACTTATTGTTTAAAGTATTTCCAGTACCAGCCCCGTTCACGCCCCCATAAGAAAATTCCAGACAAGTAACGATACACTCTTCTTTTGAAGGAACTAACAATTCATTAGCAATTCAAAAGCTCAAATGGATAAGAGCCAGTCTGCTGAGTGGGAGGCCGCTTGTTCAAACCATGGCTGGACCCACACTCGGGCTCTGTAAATAACTGAGGAGAAATTGCTCCCTTTGTAAAGACTTTGTAAATGGTCCCCTGGGTTAGACTTTCTAATCTTCTCGGATAAGGATGAAAGTCCATAGGTTCTGTCTTACAACCCTTGCACCTATAAAATTCTGCGGCATGTTAAAGAACCCACGCACTATTCGGAAGGAGTACGCGATGTAGTCCCTGGTGTGGTGGTCTATCTCTCAAGGGGGAGGGACTGTTACAGGCCCGCAGTAATTGGTGACATGCATTGTTGCGGTCACCCTGCCAAGAATTGCCGAACCTAAGTAAATAAATAATTTATGTTTTGACCAGAAAAAAGTAAATCCTCAGCTACTTCTTGATAAGAAGCTAAGTAACAGGGTGTTCTTTTTTGTTATTTTAACCTTCCTGATTGACCTGATTTTCTTTTAGGTCCAAGTCAAATTAAGAAAGTTGTTGTGGCCAACAGAGGGGAGATTGCTTGTCGAGTTATGAAAACAGCAAAGAAAATGGGAATAAGGACAGTGGCCGTTTACAGTGATGCTGATGAAAATGCAATGCATGTAAACATGGTTAGTTATTTACCCCATAGTATATGGTTCATAAGTATTTTTGTTTGTTCTAGATTTAGGTTAGCCTGTATCGCAGATGTTATTTAACCTCGGTGAGTAACATCTGGGAAGCAGCACCGAGATCCTTTTCCTGTGCCTCCAGATGATTTAGCAAATTACTGGAAGGACGTTTCAAATTTCTTTTCATACTGATTGGCAAATCGACAGTGTCTTTTTTAACAGACCAATCATGGTGTGTACTCAAATCTTAGTACACAGGTGATGGCCCAGAACAAGGATTTCAGCACTGTTTCGCAGACGGACTTAACCAGAGTCTAGTTTGCCTGTAGCGAAGACTAGATTTAGGTACGTTATTACAAAATATAAAGTGTATATATTTCATCAAATTGTTAATATTCTTTTTTTTCTACCTTTTGTGCTTTTTTATTTACTGAAGGTTAGAATCAGGATTATTCAGGGTGGATAGTGACATTCTTCTATACAAGAAAACATAGCCAGTGTAGTCCCATACAACAAAATCTTTCTTCATTATCCCAAAAATGAAGGAAGCAAAGTTTATTATATTTCATAAAGTATTGCTAGAGTGAGCTGAAAGATACCTAATTTAAAAGACCCCAGCCTGTACATTTATTTCCTGCACCTTAAACCCGGTAGACTAGCTGATTTATCATTGCTGTACAACATGTATGCCATGGCAGAACTTTATAAGTACAGGTTGTGGTAAGTAAGTCTTTTAAAAATAGTGCATAACATCTAGAATTTTATTGATCTAGTAGAAATTATAGTTCATGTATCAAACATATTTTCTAGGCTGATGAGGCTTTTCACATTGGAGCAGCTGCCTCAAGGGATAGTTACCTCAACATGGAGAAAATCATTGAAGTCGCAAAAAAGAGTGGGGCACAGGTATCAAATTAACTCAACTATTTCATCTTCAAGAGTGCAATACTCAAGATCAAGAAAAACCGCTCAGGAGCAAGATCAAGAGCATGTTTTCCTGGAATCAAAAGCCTGAAACTTGCCCAGTTTTCCTAACCTGTGGATCTTACTAAGTTTAACAAACAATGTTGTTGAAGTACTGTAGTATTTTTATTTTGATATTTTTACTTTTTTGTGAACAGGCTATTCATCCTGGTTATGGCTTTTTATCAGAGAAGCCTGAATTTGCTGAGCTTTGTGATAAAGAAGGTGTGATATTTATTGGGCCCCCAGCCCCAGCAATCAGAGATATGGGCATCAAAAGGTACAGTAAGTACAGATCAATGAACAGGATATAAAAAGGGCTGATCATGTACAATAGACTTGTTTCATTTGTAATTATATTTAAAAAATTCACATCATAAGATTCAAAGTTTCCTACAAGTATGTTGAGGCCAGAGGTTAAACAACAGTACTCTGGTCTCTCATGATGCACACATTTAAAAACATCATTTAATTTTTTTCTCTGTTTTACTTGTTTTGCAGCACTAGTAAGGCAATCATGGGCAGTGCTGGAGTGCCAATCATTGAAGGTTACCATGGTGAGGACCAATCAGATGACAGATTCAGACTTGAGGCACAAAGAATAGGGTTAGAATTTCCTTAATATGTATTATGACTAAAATTAGAATATATCTTAGTATACTTTTCTGGTTTCTTATACAGTGAAATTATGTACAGCTGTAAATATGAATTGTTATTTTAAAAGCAAGAAGCAGTGGTATGCCCTTTTCCACCCTTCAGTGTAGGCAATGGCAAATGCAAACTGATAAATTGCCAAAGGGTTATGATCCATGAGTGACCCATACCTACTGTTCCCAGAAGAGGTCTAGCATACATGTATAGCACAAGAGAGAAAAAAAGTGGAGAAACCTTGTAGCCCATGGCTACAAGCTTTTTGATAATGATGATGATGATGATGATGATGATGATGATGATGGTGATGAATATGATGTTGATATTGAGCTAGTTGACCAAACACAATCATTTTATCTTGTTTCTTGACAAGTCCTGACATGCCCAACTTTCCTGGAGTTCCAAGACCTTTAACATATGACTCTAATGCAGTTACTACACTGTACTTCAAAAAGAGATTTGCCATTACAAGTCTTACACTCGGCCATCATCATCATCATCATCATCATCATCATCAATCCTTTTTATGTGCATGTAGGGCTTTTGACAGCGCATTTCCTCTATTCCTGTCAGTCCTTTGCAAGGTGCGATGCTTGATCCCAGTTAAGGGTTAGAGTGCTGAGTTCAGCCCAGCTAAACTATCCTCCTATCTGAGAGCAACTTTGTCAGTAGTTTCTCGTGAAAGCATGTGACCAATTTAGCTCTATCTTCTTCTTGCAAGAACAATTCCTTAACAATAAACATAAATTGTAAATTATAGTAATTAGCAGTTTTGTAATAAATTACAGTGGCGATGATTTTTTGACAGGTATCCTGTTATGCTTAAAGCCGTGAGAGGAGGCGGAGGCAAAGGAATGAGAATTGTTACATCACCAGAGGAATTTGATGCTGCTCTTGAGTCAGCCAGGCGAGAGTCCCTCAAATCTTTTAATGATGATAACATGCTGGTGGAGAAATTTGTCGACACTCCAAGGTATATTAGATCTTCTTGAGGTCTTCAGACTCCACATCTACATGTAGGTCTAACAGCTTTGAGTTCCTCATCAATGTTTTCATATCAAGCTGTTTTTCTTGTTGAGTTGTTAGCCTAATATCCTTCTTGTAGCCTCAAGGAGAATTGGTCTAAAATATGATATATGTGGCCTCTACCATTTGGCCTTTGTAGCTTGGAAGACCAGGCGCTTACACTCCTACTGGTATCGCTGTCTGCATCATTGACACACACCAGCCACCACACTGTGACAAAAGATTGACCTAGAAGCTACAGGTGTAGCTTACATCAGAAAAATCTATTTCCTGAGAATATTTAACTGTGGCTTGATTTCTGTTTGGTTTGAAACCAAAGACAAAAAAATAAACATTTTAGCCAAACAAATAAACCTATGCATGTATCCTGTTCCCCAGAACAAGCTCATGTGGACCAACTGTGTCTTCAGTTGATCTACTTGTAACTTAAAAATTTCAGACATGTAGAGGTGCAAGTATTTGCTGACACCCTGGGGAACACTGTTTATCTGTTTGAGAGAGACTGCAGTGTTCAGCGGAGACATCAAAAAATTATTGAAGAAGCCCCTGCTCCAGATGTGTCATCTGATGTACGTCAGAGGATTGGCGAGGCAGCTGTGAGAGCAGCTAAGGCTGTGGGATATGTCGGAGCAGGTGAGGTGCTTGCTATTAAATACTCTGATTAATATTATTTTTATGTGTCATTATAGTGCACCAAACCTTAAACCTTAGGGAGCAAGGGTGGCGCAGTGGTGAGAGCACTCGCCTCCCACCAATGTGGCCCGGGTTCGAATCCTGGCGTCGACGCCATATGTGGGTTGAGTTTGTTGTTGGTTCTCTCCTTTGCTCCGAGAGGTTTTTCTCCGGGTACTCCGGTTTTCCCCTCTCCTTAAAAACCAACACTTCCAAATTCCAATTCGATCTGGAACGCATGGACACGTCTCAACGAGTTCTTATGAACTCCTTAGTGATCCGTGGGTAAACAAATTACAATTTACAATTTTTTTTAAGACACAACTCACTCATTTCAAGTCAGCAAAACTTAAGAGTATCAGTGTATTATTATTATTATCACCACTATCATCATCATCATCATCATCATCATCATCATCATCATTATCAGTGGCCTTGTTGTTGTCATCATCGTAGTCATCATCATCATTATCATCATCATCAATGATCATCATTATAATCACTGATGTCATCAGCACCATAATGTCACCATTATCCATACCATCATGTTCTTCACTGTTAACAAAATCACCATGGTCAGAGCATGTACAGTGTATACCGTATTTATTCGAATAAGCGCCCAACCTCGAATTAGCGCCCACCTCGAATAAGCTCCCATCCTGAAGGCAAAAAAGTCAATAAGCGCCCACCCCCACCCCACCCCCCTCCTACTCAAACTCAAACAGCAGTTCTAGATCCCCTAATGTCCATCCAGTAAGCTGTATCTGCTTCTCGTGCGAAATGAAATTTAGTAATTACTCATAAGAGACTTCCAAGAAGACATAGTTTTCTTCTTGTGTTGTTACATTTTCGCGTATTTATTCCCATTTATTGCGTTGTTGCAAAATAAACATACTACATACACTTGGTCAAAATGGTGAAAATTTAATAAGTGCCCAGCCTCGTATAAGCGCCCATCTCGAATAAACGCCCACTCTCAAGGTCCAAAAATCTAATAAGCGCCCAAGGCGGTTAATCAAATAAATACGTTAAGTTTTCTAAATGATGTAGTTCCTGTCTCTACTTCCATGGAAACAGTTATGGATTTGTTGTCGTTGTTGTACTTTTTTCAAGGAACCGTGGAGTTCATAATGGATAAAGAACAAAACTTCTACTTCATGGAAATGAACACTCGTTTACAAGTAAGCACCACTTACCAACTTTTCAGTTTATGCCAGCTAACTAATAGTGTTTTAGGATTTTTCTAAAATAACTTGAACAAGCTGATGAATGCAACCAAAATTCCATCATGTCATAATGTTTTCCTGGTTGCAGTGAGTAGGCTTTGAAACAAAAGTTTTACACAAATATTTTTGGAGTAGTACATGTATTGATAAGTTAACTGGTGCTGTTACAAATCATTTTAAGACTGTTCTTAAAATCTGGCACCTTAATGTGAAGTTGCACTGGAAAGTTGCCATAAATTTTACTAATTTTCTGCTCTGAGAATATCCATTAAGTCTGTAAAAAGAGGGCCAAAATTTGACTACACGGTAGCACCTTCTTTTGTGACTAATTGTCACTAAGCTCTGTCTCCACTCAGCCCTTCAAATAGAAATTATGATCATTTCAGATTCTTCCAGCAGCTCTTTCCTACGACCTTTCGCAATTTGTTTTCTTCTAGGTTGAGCATCCTGTTACAGAAATGATCACAGGTCAAGATCTGGTTGAATGGCAGCTCAGAGTAGCAGCAGGAGAATCTCTTCCTCTCACACAAAAGGACATCAAATTAATAGGACATTCATTTGAGGCAAGAATCTATGCAGAAGATCCAGAAAGGTGTGTTTTGGGTAAACCTTTCACATCCAAGGAAGCCCCATATCACCAAAACATACAGTCCAGGAGTATTTCCATACAGTTGTTTTTGAGTCCAGGGATTGTTAAACCAAAGGTTCTTACAACCAGGAGTCTTACAACCAGGGGTTCTTGCAACCAGGGGTCTTACAACCAGGGGTTCTTACAACCAGGGGTCTTACAACCAGTGGTTCTTACAACCAGGGGTCTTACAACCAGGGGTTCTTACAACAAAGGGTCTTACAACCAGGGGTTCTCACAACCAGGGGTCTTACAACCAGGGGTTCTTACAACCAGGGTTCTTACAACAAGGGATTCTTACAACCAGGGGTCTTACAACCAGGGGTTCTTACAACCAGGGGTCTTACAACCAGGGCTCCTTACAGCCAGGGGTCTTACAACCAGAGCTTCTTACAACCAGGGGTCTAACAACCACGGGTTCTTACAACCAGGGGTTCTTACAACCAGGGCTCCTTACAACCAGGGGTCTTACAACCAGAGCTTCTTACAACCAGGGGTCTAACAACCAGGGGTTCTTACAACCAGGGGTCTTACAACCAGGGGTTCTTACAACCAGGGGTCTTACAACCAGGGGTTCTTACAACCAGGGGTCTTACAACCAGGGCTCCTTACAGCCAGGGGTCTTACAACCAGAGCTTCTTACAACCAGGGGTCTAACAACCACGGGTTCTTACAACCAGGGGTTCTTACAACCAGGGCTCCTTACAACCAGGGGTCTTACAACCAGAGCTTCTTACAACCAGGGGTCTAACAACCAGGGGTTCTTACAACCAGGGGTTCTTACAACCAGGGGTCTTACAACCAGGGGTCTTACAACCAGGGGTTCTTAGAACCAGGGGTCTTACAACCAGGGGTTCTTACAATTAGGGGTCTTACAACCAGGGGTTCTTAGAACCAGAGGTTCTTACAACCAGGGGTCTCGCAACCAGGGGTTCTTACAACCAGGGGTCTCACAACCAGGGGTCTTACAACCAGGGGTTCTTACAACCAGAGGTTCTTACAACCAGGGGTCTTGCAACCAGGGGTTCTTACAACCAGGGGTCTTACAACCAGGGGTTCTTACAACCAGGGGTTCTTACAATTAGGGGTGTTACAACCAGGGTGTAAGATCCCTGGTTGTAGAGACCCCTGGGTCCAGCGGTTCTTACCTTTAGGGGTTGTATACGTTCAGCTTTATTTATGTCTTGTTTTTCTTACGTCCATGGGTTCTTACATCCAAGAGTTTTTACGTGTTGTTTTTTTCACTTTCTTTTGAAGGAGTTTCTTTTTTTGAGAGACCCTTAAAGAGAGAGAGCTGAATCTTTCCTTATTTCGAGTTCAAAAAACTTACTAGCGAAAGTTTGCGGCATAGAAACCTTAAGTCCTTCTGAATGGTCACACCTAAGGATTCTGTCTGCAGACTCAAAAGTTAGAATCACCTTGTACAGCATAATAAACGGTACCACAGGAAAGTACTGCTCAGTAGCTTTCATTTGAATGGTCACACTTTAGGATTTCATCCACAGACTCAAAAGTTAGAACCCTCCTTGTACAGCATAATAAACAGTACCACAGGAAAGTACTGCTCAGTAGCTTTCATTTGAATGGTCACACTTTAGGATTTCATCCACAGACTCAAAAGTTAGAAACCTCCTTGTACAGCATAATAAACAGTACCACAGGAAAGTACTGCTCAGTAGCTTTCATTTGAATGGTCACACTTTAGGATTTCATCCACAGACGCAAAAGTTAGAACCACCTTGTACAGCATAATAAACAGTACCACAGGAAAGCACTGCTCAGTAGCTTTCATTTGAATGGTTACTCTTGAGGATTTCATCCACGGATTTAAAAGTTAGAACAACCTTGTACAGCATAATAAACAGTACCACAGGAAAGTACTGCTCAGTAGCTTTCATTTGAATGGTTACTCTTGAGGATTGCATCCACGGACTTGAAAGTTAGAACAACCTTGTACAGCATAATAAACAGTACCACAGGAAAGTACTGCTCAGTAGCTTTCATTTGAATGGTTACTCTTGAGGATTTCATCCACGGATTTAAAAGTTAGAACAACCTTGTACAGCATAATAAACAGTACCACAGGAAAGTACTGCTCAGTAGCTTTCATTTTAATGGTTACTCTTGAGGATTTCATCCACGGACTTAAAAGTTAGAACCACCTTGTACAGCATAATAAACAGTACCACAGGAAAACACTACACGATAGCTTTTATTGAAATAGTCCTACTTTAGTATTACATCTACAGAATCAAAAGTTAGCAAGCCTTTTTGACACGTGTTCTTTTACCTCTTTTTTCAAACCTCAAAGTCCCGCTTTAAAACCTTTGTTTCCTTTCAGCGATTTTCTCCCAGGAGCCGGTCCTTTGTTGCATTTAACAACTCCTCAGTCATCTGACAGAATCAGAGTAGAAACGGGTGTACGGCAAGGTTTGTATACACGTTTTTAAAATGTTTAGTAGAGCGAGATTTATTTTTTGAGGTGCCGTTCTTGTTACCATCGCCGTAGAAATAGCTACTACAGCACTGTGTCACATATCAGTATTAGTAACAAATATTTTCATTTGAATTTTTTTGTATGTTTTTGAAGGTGATGAAGTGTCAGTGCATTATGACCCGATGATCGCCAAACTTGTGGTGTGGTCAGAAAATAGAGATAGCGCGTTGAGTTTGCTGAAAGAATCTCTTCAACAATATCACGTATGTACAGTCATGTTAGTTTAAAGATCTTAAAATATGGAGAGAGAAATGGTCCAAGGAAGTCAAGAGTCTGGATTGGACGACAAGCTCCAACACAGGCAGCCTTAGGGTGTATTAAGATACCGTTTCAGCCTTCGGGTATGGTCGGCGAACATGTTTACCTCGTACTTTTATGAAAGGCAACCATTATTTCCCAGATGTGATAATGGCGTAACCACTCTACCTACTCGGTAGCCTACTCGTTTCTCCCGGGTAAGAGGCAATCTACTTGTATTTATGGATACGTTTACGGCTAATTTACCCGTACCCGTACACGGAAACGATGTATCTCAAGGTCTCTATTATAACTTTTTAAACTGGATTTCGAATGCTATTTGAAGTCTTCTAAACGAGCTGTCCCTAACATTCTTCCACAGATTGTAGGACTAAACACAAACGTCGACTTCTTGACAAGTTTGTGTGAACACGGCCATTTTAAGAAAGGAGATGTACATACTGACTTTATAAAGGTTTGTGAAGTTATATTTATTCTTTGTAGGTGTTTATAAATATTTGAAAGTAAGTCCTAAGTTTTATCCTCTCTCAGTTGCTGTGCGTTATGTACCCTATTGATCAGCTGAAGCCAAGAGGTCATTTGGCACTAGTACTATCGATGATATTAATAGAGAACTTTAGATTCTGAGACAAGGACGACTACGAGTGCGAGATTTTCTCAATGCTTAGTAGTGCACACGCGTGAGCTAGTGTCATTTTGGCGGGAAAACGTGATAGCCGTCGTCATTCTACAACGGGTTTTAGCGAGAATGTCGTAGTGGCAGAAATAAGTTATCAAATATAAGAAGTTTTATCATTTTGCTATCGGGAGAGGGCTTAACCTCCTTCAGTATAATTAACCGTATTAACTTTTATGGTGAAAAAAAGTAAATGAAGCTTTCCGGGGTGTTGTTTTTAGAACTCGCGCAAAAACTTTAAGTTAAATCTCGCACTCGTCCTCATTGTAATCTAAAGCTCACTATTCTCGAAACTTGATTCTTTTATTTTAGCAACACTATCAGGACTTGTTCCCACCCAAATCACCGCTGTCCCCGGAAACGCTGGCTCAAGCCTGCCTGGGTCTTCTACTGACTGAACGACAAGAGCAGGAAAAACGTTCTGCAGCGTCCAGTGGTAAAAAAGTAGTCACGAATTAATCATAATTGCTTTCACGTCAAATACTGTACCATGACGTCACATACTTTACAACATTGCCCTCTCTGAGACTGGCGGGAAACAGTGTCATTATGAGAAGTCATATGACCTTGAAGTAGCCAATCAGAGTGAGCGCTGTCAGAGAAACAATCCCAACATTACAACATCTAATGGTTATTAGTAAAATCCAACTAGTGGTCTATTATCAATGCTGCGTTCTGATTGGTTGAGCTACTACTAGACTATATGTTATAGCCCACTAGTAGCGAAAAGCGCCGGCTTTGAAAACCAAAACAATAGCGACTGAACCGCGAGTTGCGAGCTTAAGTTGTTTTGTCTCGATATTTTTGACCAACTAGCTGGATTTTACTAAAACAATTATTCCTCTCGCCCTCATGGCCTCTGAGTCATAGCCTATTCAGTCTTCAGCCTCATAGGCTATTGACTCAGAGCCCATTTGGGCTCGAGGAATAACTGTTAAATATACTTAATCGTTTTTTTAAAACACTAGGATTGGCAGAAAAGCAATCTGTTCATTCGAATGTAAAAAAAATCGGTTTTTTTAATTTTTGATTTGTTGCATTTTTAGCTTTTTTTATAAAACCCATTACTCTCACTGCCGTCGACAGTGCTGCAAGTAAAACGTCATAATCTTTATTCCGGTTTTACCCTTTGCGTGTGCACAAAAATCTTCGAACGTATATGTTGACGCGCAATAAACAAGGTAATTAAATGCGGGTAGCTAAGTTTTAGTACGTTGATAAGATTTTGTATCTTTTTTAGACCCTTTCTCAGTGTGGAATTCTAACGTTAGCTTCAGACTGAACAATGTTGCCAAGAGAAGAATAAGACTTGATGATGGCGACAAAAGTAAGAAGATTGTCGCTTGTAGTTTCCGGGGTGCAGGGAGGGATTTGATTTACTGATTGTGTCGCAGACTGAGTTAGAAACAGACGCGCTGTAAGTGCTGCCTCGTGCCCAGGCGTCTCTCGATGAAAATTTGCGCGCGAAGGAAGGTGGGAAGGAGAAAATGGGCGAGATGTTGCTTCAGTTTTCTCCTTCCCATGGTCCCTTGCGCTACGTCTTTTGTCACTCGCGTGTCACACGCGTTTCGCACTCACCTCTGTGCTAAAACTAGGTGCCTGAAGAGGAGACAGCTGTAAGTACATGTCGCAAGAGACTAAAGCATTCTTGGCGATGGGTCCCTTCCACTGCCGAGTGGCTGGCTGGTTATCTGACCAGCTTTTTGACGTCTTGAGTTCTGATTGGCTGTCTGACTGACTGACTGATTTACCGGTCGACTTGAAAACTGACGAACTTATTGACTGACTGACTGACTGACCGATTAACTCTCTGGGAGTGACTGTAGAACAGACTGACTGCTCGACCGCCTCAGACTGACGGACTGACGGACCGATTGCCTATTAACTTTCCTGTTCTACTTTCGCAGAGGTATACATCATTGTATCTTACAACAAGGATGGAAGTTATTCACTAGAGGTGAGTAAAGGTTGATTTATTTCCCCTGTCGCGTTATTTTTACGTGCGTACGCACGTAACCTTTACGCGCTTAAATAAAATAGAGGCAATGTATGAAGTGCGCGTAAACGTAAAATTTAAGCGAAGTTTTAAATCTTTTAAGTTTGCGCTCGACTGTTTATACATTGCCTCTACTGCATTTACTCGCGTAAAATTTACGGACGGGCCACAGTTAACGCTCTGATGTGTCTTTTATTTCCAAACTGAATTTTCTTGCGCAGATTGAGGGTGAGCGCTTAGACGTGAAGGGAAAACTTGAATCAGACGACTCCAGAACTTGCCTCACAGCGAACATAAACGGGCATGTCTTTAAATCCTGGCTTGTTGATCAAGAAGGAACCATTCATTTATTCACCAAGGTACTCTTCGTTTATATGGAGTCCTTATAGTTGTACCATACGCTGAAAATGGTCCCTTTACTTTGGTTAAGCACTGGCGTAATATTAAAAAACGCCAGAATTTGTTATATTGCAGAGAGTGCCGTATTTAGCCAGTCAAAAACAAAAGGTTGACAAACCCCGACCTTGGTTTTCCGCTTCCCTTTCGCTTGTCACAGGTTTCAATTTCTGTCGTGCAACACATTTGCTCGTGCTTGTGGAAGTTGTTTTTTAAACCAAACTTGCTGTTGCCACAAACTGTACTTCTATGCAAGAGTATTTTTACTTCAGCTCCCAGAATACTAAATTAGGACATCCTCTTTGACATCCAAGTGCCTGAAAAATGCAACAGTTTCATTGGTTAAACATCCCAGTGGGAATGTCCAGAATCTCTTACGTTTACGGTTAGCGTGCATCATCGGTTTCCCGCCATTTTTACCCTCGTTTGACCCAGTCTCCACGGGTCTGCTACGGGTCTTACGCGCATGACAACTTACAGCTAAAACGCCCTTTATTCGTACATGAAACAGAAATCAAGATTAAGCTCCCTCCATCTGGTTACCCAGTGCTCCTGCGCGGCTTGGCTCTATCTAACCTCCGATTAAAACCTGTGACAAACGTGAGGTTTATAACACTGACATTATTATTCTTCACACAGGATGGTTGTCATAAAGTACATCGCCCGATTCCCAAGTTCCTTCGGGGTGGCCCCTCAGCCGCTTCCCAAGGATCAGCAGTGGCACCAATGACGGGCACAATCGTCAAGGTAGGGTTACTGTGGCTTGCATTGGGTAAGTAGGCCTCTTGCACCAGTAAAAACATCGGAACATTTCCGATTTTTATTATACAATCAGTGGCCGAAGTTAGGGTTTAAGACGCCAGAGCTCTCCTGAACGCAGATGGCTCGACTATTATTGCCAAATGGTGCTGAAAAGTTGGATTGAACGTGGGTAGCCTGCATAACAGGCGTTATTTTTTCGCGTTTTTCAGCCTGGCGAAAGCAAGCGCCAGACACGCGCCTGTTATGCAGGCTAGACCATGGGTGTAATTTTTGCTTACACCAAGCTACCGTAAAGAATTTGTCTCGTTGCTTAGTAACCTTATCAACAAACTGCAGTCAAGTATATTTTTGTGTGGAAGTTCTTAAAAGTAGTCTGGTGAAAGATTTTCTGACAACCTTTATTTTTTTGCTCAGGTGCTTGTAGAGCCTGGACAGAAAGTTGAAGAAGGTGAAACGCTTATTATCATGGAGGCAATGAAAATGGAGGTAGGTTGCTGAGGTTTAAAGTTGTGATTTTTATTCAGTGTTTGCTTTCACGTCAGTGATATTAGCCTGTTAGTCCACTTATTTTTTAGACTTCACTGTTCACAGTAATCCGTGGTTGTTACTTTTTTCTTAAAACACGTGTTAGATAAACTCTCACTTGTAAAGCCAGGTCTAGTTTGGACATACAAAACGTTACGACTTTTAAATGGCTTACGGAAAATCTTGAATACCGAGGCGTTTCCCCAGGACTTCGCGGTCGTCCGTGTCGGTTAGATAGTGCCGCACTAACGATTCGTACTTATCCAAACACACCTTAACTTCAGCCGTGTGTGTACTTACAAAATTCGGTAAAGCGCACGGATGGGTCTACGTCCCATGGTTTACAAGCTTAAATCCCATCAAATACCGAGAGTTGAAAGTTTGCACCAGAATTATGATCCAGATCATTACACGTTTCTGGAAAACTGCCCAACTACCCCTCCCCTAAGCCAACATTAACACTTACTTCTCACTTAGGGCAAAATGTTTGCTTAGAGGAGGGGTAGGTAGGCGGTTTCCCAGAAACGTATAATGGTCTCAATTATGTAAAACTTGTTTGGCTTAAGGGAGGGGTAGGGCGGCAGTTTCCCAGATACCCAAACTGATCCCAAGTTGTTACCTTTAGCATGTTATTCGAGCACCTAAGGACGGGGTGATAGGACAAGTTCTGTATTCCGAAGGACAGGCGGTAAACAGACATGCGCAGCTCCTTCAGTTCCAGGAGGCAGGGCAAGATCAGGGATCTGGAGACGAGGACGAGCAGGAGCCTGAGGCGGAGTGAATACAGTGACCGGGAGTAGATTGGGAACAGGAAGGATTTGCAAGACTGGCATGATGGCCATATTTATCGTTAATCACGTGACAGGAGGGATTATATTCAGAAAATCTAAACCAAAAAAGCCGACTACCCATTGCGTACTTTATCACTTCAACGTTCTTGCGTTTCTTTTTCCGTAAAGAATTTGCTGTTCAATTATACATGTGTTACAGTCGAGGACAGTTTAAAAATTCAATGTCAAAGCTCAAGTTATGCTAATATAATCGAAATTATTTGTTGGAGATATCAGCTCCCTGCTGGTTTGACCGCGGTAACCAAGAACCAAGAAACCAAGAACGAATTCAAATAACAGTCGTTTGAACCAATCAACATCGCTCAAACGAACGTGGTTGGAATTCATTGTTTGCTTCTTTTGATCTGATTGGCTACTGTTGTTGAAGTTGCCTTGGTTACCACACTGTATATATTATCTCTCATTCAATGTTAGTGTGTGCAGGTCTTCTTGCAATTTGAGAGAAGTCGTTACGTCACGTTGCCATGGTAGCAAAATTTCTGGATTCAACAAACCGTGGTCCTGCAAATTTTGGAAGGAAAAAAAATACTTGACATGTATGACTTTCCTGCATGATTGCACTCAGGAACAAAAGAGTAGCCCTAACTTTTCTTCCATTGTTCGACAATTCAAACTGCCGTCTCTGCCAAGAAAGGTTGTTGTGATCCGCAGAAATTTTGCTTCCATGGCAACGTGACGTTACCTTTCTCTTTCAATGTTTCTTGGTACGACTGTAATACCCAGGAGAAATTGGAAACAATGGTTATGCAAAATTTGGGGGGTAAACAAGGGAAATTATGGTGTAGGTGAATGGGCCAAAATGTAGTGAACTTGATCTGCAGGCTATTTGTAGTTCGATTACACTTATTTAACAGTTATTCACGAATCAGTTCTTCAGTGACTAAGGGAAACAAGTTTCCTGAAAAAGTGACAATAATGCTAATAATTTTATTAGTCATTAAAACGTAAGTTGAGCTTGCTTCAAGTTTTAAAAATATTATCTTTAAATCAAATTTTGTCACCGATTCAACCGCCAAAATTCTTGAAGAAACCCACAATAAAATGAAACAGCCATACAATTATTAATATATCTTTGGCGAAACCAGCAATGAACAATGCTTCAATATTGGTGAGCTGCTGCCAGGAAAGGCCAAACAAACATACGAAAAGCACGTGAATACACTGTACGTGTGTGCAGCAAGTGCAACTGTGAAGGTTGCACGTGAGATCGCAGGGTGTTTGTGAAGAAAAACAACGGCAAACCGAGGCGCGAAATGTCGCATGCAAGAGCCAAAACTCCATTTATGGAACACGTTTCACGGATCCTAGCTAAAGGGGTATTAGAAAGAGATGACTTTACGCAAGAACAAGGCGGTAAATAGCGGTTAAACGTCTCTTCAAATTGATATGAACCAACATCTGGCCTCACTCATAAATTAGCTTTCACCAATAAGTAGATAATTTTTTTAATCCTTCTGTACAATTTCTGCCTCAGCAGTAGTGAATTCCGCAAAATGGTACCTCGCGGCAGAGTTCTAAGCTGTCTGCTCCTCGTCTTTGGATTCTACAGTCTTGTTTTTAACCGTATTCGCTTCAGGAGGCTTTTCATCGGCCGCAGGTTCACTCGGTTTCTCATCTTTACTCTTCGAAACTCCTCCATTCACTCTACCTTTCTCTTCTTTCCTTTCTTCCTTCCCATCCACTTCTCTTGACACCTCTTCCGCGCTTTTTTCGTTGTCTTTCGTCGTCGCCTCGGATTGGGCCTGGGATCGCTCTCTCCAGTTCGCTGACAGGCTCCCGCTGCTCGGCCGTAACTGGTTGTTACTGTTTCCTCGGGGCCTGTTACCGGGTTGAGTTTGTTGCTTTTGCTGTTGATTTTTACTCCCAGAACGCTGCCTCTGTTCCTGTTTACTGTGCTGTTTATTACCGTTACCATGACTTACTCTTGAGTCGTTGTGCTCGCTGTTTTTGCGGTTTTCTTGGTTCTTCTTCTCGTCCTTCCCTTCGCTGTCTGTTCTACGGTTTCCAAGCCACGGGGACGTTTTCTTTGCCCTAGAGTCTCTTGGCGGGGAAGAGGCTGGTAAAAAAAAAGCAAACAAACCATAAAAGTCGATCTTTAACCAACGGCCGTAATACTAAAACCAAGTCTTACAACTGTAGCCAATCACAACAGATCCACAACACAACAAACCAATCAAAACTCGATGCCAAAACTTGCGGCCGGCAAAGGCGCGGGAAAACGTCGGCGACCGAGTCATGATTTATTTTGGAGTTACTTCTGATTGGCCGAAAGATTTGCGCGAGATTTCTTAATCAGTCATATAGCGAAGCAATGGGAAACAAACCAATCTACGCTTCATCCGGCTATACCAAAAAACGTACGTATTGGCGACTTTTCACATTCTCCAATTTTTTTCCCCACAATTTTGCATAAGCAGTTTCACTTTCTCTTGGGACAAAACGTATGCTTATGGTCAAAAACTGGAGAACAAGAAAGTCGTAGATTTCGGACCTGCACGATGGATATTTACTGGCTTCTACGCCTCCTGTTTTATTTCTAACACTCTTACATGTTATGACTTCTTCTTTGTCGTTTTGGGCATTCCCACTCGTGACACGCTTACTCTTGCCTTGCTCGCTCTCCTCAGATTCCTCCCGGATACCTTTTAGTTCTGAAGTCGGCGTAGATGCTCGTCTATTCCCAGTGTTCTGTTGAGGCAATAGACAAAGAAAAGGTCAAAGAGACCACTTGTTGTGTCATATTTGGGAGCTTAAGCAATAAAGACCACAACGGCTACGACAACGCCCCGTTCAATTCGTCAAATGGTGACAATTTCTTTTCTGGAGTTGAATTCTAAAAGAGTGTATCGAAATTCAGGAAAAGAAAAAGAAAGTCGCTGTTTTGTGTCCTCATCCACAAAACGTGAAATTTGATATTTTCACGTCGTAGTCGTTCAGTAACGGCAAAGAAATGTACAAAAAGCGTGATGCACATGCAGAGTTTTTGTTTTGCAAAATTTAATCCTGGCTATAACGGAAATAACGTCTCAATTTCAATTCTTTTGTTAAAAGAGGACAGAAAATGACTTAAAAACCAGTTTCATGCACATCGCACACACGATCTTTTTAATAACTCTTCATGTTTGTAGAGCAAATGTCTCTGAAACGCTTACCAAACTAGTCCTTGTAGACTGCTGTGAATTCGCTTTGTTCTCGGGAACTTCTGATTCACTGCTCGATCGTATTCGTATGCTCGGTTTCGTCTTCGGTCCATCCTTGGTGCTGACAAACATCCCCTCGCTCAAGTCGCCCGCGTAACTCTCCGTGGTCAGCGACCTGTCTCGCACACTCAACATATTGTCCTTGTCCTGGCCAATGAATGAAAGGCTAGGCCCAGGCCGCATCTCCGCCGGAGTGGGTAAGTAAGAGGGTCCCTGGGGCGGGTTGATTCCCATGCTACGAAGCTGCTGGTCCAGACTTTCCTTGTCCTTTTTCATTACCTCTACATCCTGCGTGAAAAAAAAATTAACACAACAAATCTTACAAAAAATGGACATGGGATTTTCGCTCTCTTGACAGTGAACAGTAAAAATGGTATTTACCCTAAGATGAGCTAGATGGTAATCTAACATCATTCGGGCATTGGCGATACACTCCTTTGTTCCAACAAATAGGAAAGACACTTCTTTCTAAAAACAAGAACAAAAAAGATAAGACTCGCGCCCGTTCTAGTATATAAACGTTTATTAGCAAAATCATCTTCAAAACCAGCAAATCACACAGCAGTTCTCACACGTTGTGAATGGCTGGTGAACCTTCGGTGTAGTATTCTTTCGCGTTTCATCCGCATATTTGAGATTCTTTCTGCAATTTCCCATACTTTTACAAGCCTTGGCTTATATTACCCAAGTATACAGGGAAAGAAACATCAACTTGTGTAAGTTTTATTTCAATTCTTCCATTGTCTGAAAGGTACTTCACTTTTCGCTGAGCAAGAAAACGAACGAAAATGAAAACGTAGGCTGACCTTTGAAGATTTCTCGTCAGCGGTCGATCTTTCTTCGGGAGGTTCAATCTTGACACGGGTGACGCCTGAACGATCTACTATGTCTTGGATTATACGACCACTCTTTCCGATAACTTTTCCTAGTGGAAGAAACAATGCCATTTCCTGTTATTCCTAAGCATGTTACAGTTCCTAAAGTGTGACCATTCAAATGAAAGCTACTGAGCAGTACTTTCCTTTGGTACTGTTTATTATGCTGTAGAAGATAGTTCTAACGTTTGACTCTGTGGATGAAATCCTCAAGTGTGACCATTCAAATGAAAACTCTTTGAGAGTAATTTTTTCATAGTCAAGAGTAACTTTTCGTTGAATAACAATATAAAATTTGAGATCGTCTAATCCAGTTTTGAAATTTTGTCCTGCACACGTTAACTTTGCATCCCACTTCTCTGACTGTTTGCTTTTAGTTAGACTCACCTACAAGCGGTCTAGACACGTAAACAGTTTCCTCCGCAAATTCTAACAGTCTTCTCGCTTCTTTTACACTTTCTTCACCCTGAAAGACGGAATAAATTAATTCAACAACCCTTAATTCACCATTTTCACATGTAGTATTGTATTTATTGCATGGATGAACACATAATTATTGATCAGGCAGATGAACGTTCGTCTGGAAGTACTGCCCTTGGGTAAAACAGCCAACGTTGATAATACTCACATCTCCACAAATGTGAAAAGTGCAGTTCTCTTCATCCACTTCAATGGAGATGATTCCAGGCAGTCGCCTAGCCTGTTGAATGTTAGCTCCCTGCGCACCAATGGCAAGGCCCATAAGATGATCTGGTAACGTCAGCATGTCGACCACACCCATCTGTTTTTTGGCAGTCTGTAATGAGTGGGACAAAAGTAAATTTTAACAGGTTATGCTTAAGTTGTCGCCCTTAAGACTTTCCATGCAGGTTGAGCCATTTTAACATTGATGAGGAATTTTCTAACTGAACAGCCAAGCCCGCTGTGTGTGCATTACAGTACAAGTGCAGAGAAATGGAGTTGATGCTACAGGATGCGATATACCATTTTGGAACCTCTCACTTGTTTAGAGGTTGTTGCAATCTCTTCAGTCGTTGGTTTTGTTGTTTATCTTGTGAATTCACTGTCAACAACTAAAGTCCTATTTGGAATTACATTCACCCGGAGGATCAAACTCAACCTACTTTTGGACATTTCCAAGTTACAGAAACTCACATTTTCAAAACAAGGCTATATTCTTGTGAAAATGAGTTTTAGTTGCACAACAACCGGGGGGGGGGGGGGTTTTAAAAGGGATTTTCCGGGGAAAAAAAAGCAAAAAAAAAAAAAACTAAACATATAAAAAAGACACATTAGAAAACATCTTTAGTAACAAAACACCATTTTTTAAAACATAGATTCAAGAAAACGGGAGTGGAATGGGGGTAACATCATATCAATTTCTTCACATTTGAAACAGTACAAATGACTAATATGAAGTGAAGTTGTGTTGTTTAAGAAGGTAGTGATTAGTACAGGAGCGGGGGGGGGGGGGGGGGGGGTTCTTAATAGAGGATTTACGGTAGTAAACACAGTAACTAAAAAAATCATCATACATTGATAGAAGCTAGATTGACTAACTGTTATGTAGACTAAACTCTATTTTTACAGAACTGAGTCTCAGAAACGGGAATGGGCTGAGTGAAGGTCTCTACCATGTTAAAAGGCACCGCCTCAAAGGTACACCGACTGGAAAGGCTTTTATACCTGTAGTTGTCTTGCTGTCTCATCAATCCAGGACTGCAAGAGCATCTTTGTTCTGAGACTTCTAAAATGGATTTCGCTTAACATGGCTGCACATTTCACAGGACGTTCAGAGCGAGACTGCAAAAGATTACACAGTACCCTTTTCAATCTTATAGTAATCAATAGACCTTTGGGCTTCGATTACTCATCAATTACTCATTGATCATCACCAATAATCAATGACTAATCAACTGATCACTCATCGATTACTCATTGATTACCAATTGATGTCATTGATCATTGATTAGTTATGTCTGGTATTCATCCATTCATTGTAAAATGCAGGTACGTGTAACTTTATTCAAATTACACAGCTGATCAGATATCATAAATACTAAGGCCACAAGAATGCTGAATTGCTCACCAATGCAACAAGGACAGCTAGTTCATCATGATAATACACACAAGATGCTCCCGTCTGTTTCTTGAACTCTCTGTGCACTGCTTCATCTTTACAGCTAAACACAAAAGGGAATAACTTTGAGGTCATAAATCCTTCAACCCCAGAATCAACTACAAGGGTACATACTTCAGTTTACAAAGACCTATGTCACTGTTTGTTATAATATTTCTAAATTTCAACAGTTATTTTACTTTCATAACACCATTAATGATATAAGTGACAGATCTTACAGTTGTCTTAAGTCTTGTGGAACATCAATCATCACTTTCTGGTACATATCCTTGGCGATTGGTCCACTGTTAGAACACAAAAAAAAATTCCCATGAACAGAAGAATCCTGAACAGGAATATTTAAACCAACTAAACAGAACTGAATTTTGACAGCTCCCATTAAACTCTGGTATTTTCACATGGTTCTTAGGAGAGTGAATCTCAGCTGAACAATTGGAGGGGTGACCAGGCATTTTTAAGGATATTTAAGCAGAGATAATTTATCATATTTAAAAGGCTCTTTTATTAAAAGCCTCTGTGAAAAGTGTGTGGTGTCCTGCAAGGTTCTCTTGCACTCCAGCGGTCTGGGCCTCACTACGGATTTCTTTCCCAGACTGGACATTGATATAGGCGATAAAACACTGTCATCTGCTTACTTGCAGCTACAGGGACGAATTCTCTCTCTGGGTACAATCTCATTAAATGTGGCATCCCATCCAGTATACTGTATCACATAAAACTAAAACAAGAGAAAATGCGCAAACATGAGAACAGCAGTTACATGTACCACAAAAGGCACGAGTTTACCGAGGGGGTAAAAATATTTTATTTGGAACAAAACAATTTAAACCACTTTGCCACGAAGAAAACTCAATATCAAAATTGACACAAAAAAAGATAATCAGATAATCAAATAAATCTGATAGGAATGAAACAAGAAGAATTGCTCTTTTCACATAAGGTTTTTTTTTTTTTTTTTTTTTTTGGGGGGGGGGGGGGGGGGGTAATGTTTTGAATTGTTTGATAAAAAAATATAACTTACACAAAAAAAAAAAATAACACCCAAAAAAAAAAAACTGACAATAATATTTAAAAACAATAATTTTTACTTAAAAATCTTGAGTCAAACATTGCTTATACAAATAAATTAAAAAAAAAAAAAAAAAAACAAAAAAAAAAAAAAAAAAAAAAAAAAAAAAAAAAAAAAAAAAAAAAAAAGAAAAAAAAAAAAAAAAAAAAAAAAAAAAAAAAAAAAAAAAAAAAAAAAAAAAAAAAAAAATAAAAAAAAAAAAAAAAAAAAAAAAAAAAAAATATATATAAAATTTTTTTTTTTTTTTTTTTTGTTTTTTGGGGGGGGGGTGGGGGAGGGAATGCTTTGCATGTGTAGATAGAAAAATGTAGCCTACCCAGAAAAGAAAACTACCACCCAAAGAAAAAGAAGTGGCCATTATGTTTAAAAACAATAATTTTTACTGCAAAATCTTGAGTCAAACATTGCTATGTAATTGCATTCAGCCCAATGAACCAGACAGCTGTTTCAGCACACAGTAAGCTCAAAACAAAACTCTTGGTCACCTCAGTATCTTCAGCTGGCCTTTTTCAACACTTACTTCAAGAAACAACACCTTTACGAAAAATTCATTACATAAGCAGGTGGCTGTCCTTTGTAAGAGCTGGTGTGACTGATACAAAACAATGTTGAAAGAGGTTTATGTTTGATCCCAAATGTGCATTACTGGCCATTGTTTAATAAAAAAATAATTGGCTTCATTTCTTAGACAGGCACACAAAACTAGAGAACATAGCACAAATATATTTCCTTCACTAATTATGTACAATCTGAACTCTGCAGGAAGGTGTAACCTAAAACAAAGTTCCATAGGCTGTTGGTCATACAAGCATTTATTTTGTTTATCGTTAGTAATAGGTGGACTTAAATAAGTGACTTTCTACGGGTAGCACAAGTGGCAGTGATTTTGTTACAAACAGTTATGGTGAGTCCTGGGACTAATCTTGTGAAAAATCAATGAGTCCCAGTCCAGAACCAATGATTCCCAGTTTAAAAAAAAAACAAGAGTCCGAAGTTGAAAATGCTTGGGCTTTTATGTAACCAAAGATGTTTATCTCACAAGAAGACTCCAAAACTAGTCCAACGTAGTCCATTGTTGCTATCATGTCTATAATATTACTGAACTCATGAAACAGGAGAGGCGTCTGGAGAAAGAAGATGGCAAAACGTGTGTGAAAGCATGAAAATAATTCTGTTTGAAAGAACTTTCCACCAAACTTTACCTTCCTTTAAACAGACCTTTTTGTAAATGACCAGAACACAGAAATATGTAGCAAGGATCAGAGCACAACATGCAACTAAAAGCCTTATGTCACATTTATCACACACGAGCATTTTGCCAACCTCTTCTCTCCGCCAACCCTCCTGTTGCATAAACTCACTAATATTTCTGCTGGAGATTTGGCTGCCACATAATATATTAGTGAGGAGTGTGTTAAAGCAAAATGTCTGCAAGGCAAGAGCAGACTGTACATACATGTATAATAAATGAAAAAAATAAGTACCTCTCCTTTTTTATGAACAATTCTTGCCTGCCACCAACCACAAGGCTCACCATCAACATCTCTTGTGAAAACCTAGAACAATAGAATCAAAAGATTGATTAAAATAATAGTGAATTCATTTCACGAAATTTTTTGGGAAAGGATATTCATCTTCATCTTCAGCCATTAGGAAAAAGCTCCCATCATGTACATATGTCATATCAATTATTTCAAAGACCAATACATATTACAGATAAATATTTCCACTCATTTACACAACAGGAGCTTTGTGGGAAAAATTACAAAAGCATCACAATATGTAAAGCTGATAATAAGCTTAAAAGGGGTTACTTGATCCAAGTAATGCATGATTCCAGAAAATAACTGTACCACCCCTGAAGGAAGAAAACTTTTCTAACAGCTCCCCACTACTCCACCCCTAAAGGAAGAAACCTTTTCTAAGAGCTCCCCACTACTCCACCCCTCAGTAAATTCCAAATTAAGCTTCATAAATTTCTTTCAATTATTTTGGCTGCGAGACTCGCTCCTCCCCAGGCATTGCATAGACGTCTATTCCTTCAAAGAAAATATCTACTTTTTCCAAGACAGAAGTTCAGTTTAAAGTATGACTTTCAAAATAGCTGTGGACCACTGGAAGTAATTAAGTGGAAAGGAGAAAATAACAGGGCAGAACAGTAACTCGACTTGGTTCCCAACCATCCACCATCCCTCTCCACTCCAGCACCCCTTCCATCCCATCTCTTCCATCTTTTCCTTCCCATTACAATTGAATGTTTATAATCTCCCTTTCTCCTGCAACAAGCAGTAAACACAACCCTTGCAGGTACACGTCTATACCCTTAAATCTTCTCTTTGGAAATACAACAAGCCTAATCCACTTTATCAGAGGGTGATCGAAAACCTGGCGGCGAGAAGCCATGACTGAAATTCAACACCATATTTTCTCGCTCTATGTGATAATCACTAATCATTATCAACAACATTATTACAAGAAATCTGGATTACTTGAAATTTCTGTTGTTACCGTTTGCACTTAAATAAGCTAACAAATAATACGAAAATGCAACTGGGTTACTCTCAAATGCTAAAGGGGCACGTGGGTAAGTCATTGTAAACACACTATAAATTATAGCAAGGCGAAATACAAGTTGTTGCACAATCCACGGGTTTAAACAAGAGAATTCCGAATAAAATAGGAAAAATATTTCTACTTTAGTGCCAGATCGAAATTTTTTACTCTTCAAACCGTACCTTAAAATATGCATCATGAATAAAAACAATCGAGAATGGGATTTTCTACGTCAATGCATTTGAATTTGACCTTTTGCTTTTCGATCACATGGGACGGAGAGACGTAAACAGGTCTATTATCCACTTAGCGTACCTCTACTTCATCGTCCACGTACAAATCGCATTTTTGGTTGCTCTTGGAAGGTAAACGCACTTCTTCATAAGAAACTCTCTTCCAGTTATACGGACTGTATGAGAACAAAATATGAAAGATCTGTTAGCGAAGATCTTGTCAAAAAAAAAGGACACGACTGAATCTCGCGCGCGGACACCTAATAGCTGTCCGTAGCTTATACGTACTCGTGCTCCAGGGAAACAGTGACTTGATCTTGGTGTATATTCCTCACGTAGCCCTGGAAAGTAAATTTTTGATAAGTTCTCAAATAATTCTTTTACTCTTTTATAAGTGTTCCCCGGTTACCTTGTAATAGACGCCATTCTTGCCGCACACCTCGACCGCCAAATCCTCCATGTTTTCTTGCTCAACCTGCTTAGGGTCGAAGAGGACGGTGGGATATCAACAAAAATTGCGCAATCGACGCGCGAAAAAACAATCACAGAAAACACTTCATCAGCATTGAAAAAAAAAACAATAAAAAATATCAAACCTCCCTAAAGAAGCAATTACCATAAAGTTCACGAACAATAGTTGTTTGAAATAATCGGATCTCATATTTTCATGTTCTCGACACAGCCGCTCCGTGCCATCTATTTTTAGTAACACTTTCATCCCCTTGCATTCTAAAACGGAAACGTAAACTTTTTTCTAGAAAATCTTAACTCAAGGTCCATTGGTTCCCAAAATCACTTCGGTTAGCCCGGACCACCCTTAATCAGGTACTACAGATGTTAAAATGTTTAAGTTTTTCATCAGATTCACGAAGCTGTATCTGAAAGAAACTGATTGCAAAACACAATTCGAAAATTGCGAAATATATTGCGAAACTGACATTCTGTAAATTTTTGTATTAGGCATAATTATGCAATATTAGCAATTTTTGACCAAAAAGTCGGTCTATCGCTTGCATTAAATCTTAACTGTGTCCGATGAAAGATAAACCTAGTGGGAACAGAAGTTGGTGTCTGTTTATTTTTGTATATGTATTCGTTTTAAATTGTTTTTAAAATAGCTTTAAAAATCCTCAATTAGTCCAGCGTAGAGCGTGTGCGATCATAGCTTTCTCTCCTTTCCAGGGTTCCTGTCATATATTCAGTGCCAAAAATTTCTGTAAAATCCAGTAAAAACTTGACTTTTTGTACAACAAATATTAAATCGTTATTCAATGGCCAAAAGAGTATACCAGACGGTATATCAGTTACCAGACGGATTAGAACTAAAACAGTCAGCGTTTTGGTCTGGATGCAATTAAACCAAGCACGCACTCTGACAAAATACTGCTGAAAGAGGGGACCGAAAGAACAAAAAATCTCTCTAAAATGCAATAAATCCCCAAAGTTACCGAATGAACAGCACACAAAAAAAGTCAAGGGCGACATATTATTACCCGTTCCAATCAATGATATAAGGGGTAAAATCTTTGACTTCTATTACGTAATTATAGATACCTCAAAGGAGTTTATTGTTATTACAGAACTTGGGTTACCTGTGGACAAAGTAACTTCCTTTTTTAATTTTCTACGAGCCGATTAGCTCTGACGTCATATATTTTACACACTGTTGACAGCTCAGACACTTGGCGGGAAACAGCTTAAATTAGGTGTCATGTGACCTTGAAGTAACCTATGAAGCCGCTCCAGACTGGACGGGAATCATTTGAAAGAAACTTCGAGCGCGCCTGGGACTATGTACCCCTTTTCCCGTCCCGGTTTTGGCGGAACGCGTGCCTCTCAGACTGAACGTTTCCATGTCACATCTCTGTAAATAGTAAACAAAAGGAGATGACCAGTTCGCCATTTTTAAGCAATGCCTCGTTAAAGTGATGTTCGAAGAGACGATTCGTAACGGCGATTTTAAGCGCATTAATTACAGCTTTTACAGCTTTGTTGCTGCATTGTTTCGAATGGTTGCCACATTGTCCCAACCACTTGCCGTTGCACTAAAGAGACTAGAATCGTCTTTGCCAATTGTCTCGATCGTGTAACATTTACGTGAGAAATCCGAACAATTTTTTTAAATTTTTCGTATCAACGATCGACCTCAAACGTTCATCCGCAAACACCTGCTTGCCTTTTAAGCCCTGTCACAAATTATGTGTACTACAACCAGTTCCTTTTAGCATTTAATTCTTCACTCCCTTGAGAGTATATATATTCACATGTTCATATTTCAAAATTCTGTACTCTGGTCTACACTAAAAGAATTCATCGACATCAATTCGTGTAAAATTTCCGTGACCTACACTCAATCTCTCAATCTACACACTCGATCAGCTCCACGACTCGGAACGACTACATAGCTCCTAGACGTCCGACTCCTGTACAAAGTTCAGTTCTCAGATCACGTGAGTTTTCCCGCCGCAATGACGCAATAATTTTCTAACAAGCCCTACAATATAAACACTCGAGGGGTTGGGAGAATTCTCGATAGCTATGCAAACCCTCGACTTTTTTTGACTTTTTTGTCTCGGATTTGCATAACTGTCTCATTTTCCCGACCCCCCTAGTGTTTATATCAGGCCATGCAAACACGGACAACGTTTTCTATAGTAATTGCTCCTTTGTTGACCTTTTATTTTCCTTTATCCTAGTCAATTTTAACATAATATTGAAGGCCGTAAAAATTTCACTAGGACACAGAAAAAGCCGACTCATTATCTGTGGCGGAAGACGCTAATTTGGTTGAGTATAAATTGAGAATTAGCGGGCCATTAAATACAAGATAAATGTTTTGACAAGAATTTTAAGCAAAGGCGACATTAATGGCAATTAATGAGCGTCCCTTATACCCTGAAAACTTAAAGTTCCGCTTATCTTTTAACTACTTATATATAGGGATTAAAACTCATGTATTTTCTAAAAGGAGTATAATGCATCCGGCTATACTTCGTATATTGTTGTTTTTTCTAAGTGGCCAGGTGTAAAAACGGATAAAGAAAAGTGGTAGGAGGAAGTATTCAAGTGACAATTTTCAGTTAGGCACTAAAATCTAAATACTTCCATAAGCCCATGTTTGCTTAGAACAGTCTTTTACGCTTTGTGTCAGAACCGTTATCAAAAAAGTCTCATTAAAAGAGCCTAGCTGATCTTTTATTTCCTAAAGGTTAAGCAGCCCATAAGCACTCAGTGAAAGGAAGCAACTTGGCTATATTGATTTCTTTCCTTAACAACAAGCACACCAAACGAAAAAATCTAATTTTTCTTGGGTTGGTTCAGGTGTTCATAAAAAATTCAGAGTCTAATTGTGGTGATAAAGCTTTTGTTAAAGAAATATAAATAAAAGAAATACAGCGGTGTAGCTTAAATGGCAATGAGCTTTTACTTGAGAAAAATGGAGCAAATTTATAATTGAAACTTTATACCGCGGTTTCAAGACTCTATAAAGTAAAAACCGCAGGACTCGTAGATGATAGTGGTTATTTTGCATTCTTAATTTCCGTATTAGATAAAAACGCAGACCATTACTTAACGCTTTTGATGAGGAGTTTTAATGACATGGACCTCTAAGCAAACTTGTGTGTTTTTCAGCCAAAACAAACCATTTTACGGGTAAGATAAGAGACAAGAACTGGCGCGAATTCACACCGGTTTCCACAATTTTTTACGGAAATCGGTTAGATTTTTCATAATAACTATATTTTTAATAATAAAAACACTTTCTAAGTTGAATTTTGGCCAATACGCTGTCTGAATGACTTCGGAAACCCAGGAAAGGGGACTCTAAGGAGTTAAAATCCAAAACATTTCCTTGGGGAACCTGCCCCCGAAACACCCTAGAAACTTACGCCTCCGGCGCTCATTTGGGAAGTCGGTCAATATTTATCCCAGACGCCGCGCCTGAACAAGCTTAGCTGATCGCCTACGATGAGGAAAATTGATGAGCAATTTTCTTTCATAGCTACATCATTTCTCTTTATAACGCCTTCAATAATGTTTCTCTAATTATTATTATTTTTTTTAATTTTTTTTTTTTATCATCATGGACAAAATTAACTCGGGGGAGGGTTTGTGTTTCTCCTCTTACATAATAGCCCTTCAGAACGTGACATTCGAGGCTAAGGGGTCCTACTTCTTTCGCAAATTGTTTCATGCTAAGACTGGCTGATGAACAGCTATGTATTCGAAGAACATTTTTAAAAAACAAAAGACTGTAAGCAATTCAAACGGTCAAGGTGTCTCTTTACTTTTGAGTATGAAGATGAGAATGATTCCAAAATGAAATCAGGCTCTATGGTGCTACCATTCAAATGAAAGCTACTGAGCAGTACTTTCCTGTGGTACTGTTTATTATGCTGTACAAGGTGGTTCTAACTTTTGAGTCTGTGGATGAAATCTTAAAGTGTTACCATTCAAATGAAAGCTACTGGGCAGTACTTTCCTTTGGTACTGTTTATTATGCTGTACAAGGTGGTTCTAACTTATGAGTCTGTGGATGAAATCCTAAAGTGTGACCACTGAAATGAAAGCTACTGAGCAGTTCTTTCCTGTGGTACTGTTTGTTATACTGTACAAGATAGTTGTTTTAAATGAATCTGTAGATATCTAAGTCAGTCCTAAGTAGCGACTGCCATGACTTGAAAAGAAAGAAAACTATTGATTTTTACCGTTTGTTGGATTTTTAATTTTGGATAAATTGCTTTTTGGGACTTTCAGTTCTAGGTGTCGATATTTTGGAGTGAAATATTTTGTAAAAAGCAAGTGTTGAAAGTAGAACTAATTGGCTGGCATTGATGAGGATGTTCATAGATATGAGATCCTCAACCGACTTTATTAATCGACCATAGATTAATTAACAGTCAGCAGCAAACGATATACACCTGGCAGTCAAACTGTCCCTATTTGAAACCACTTGCGAATAATTGTTAACTTTTTCTTTTGTTAATAGCTTGATATCTACAGACGCCGCGTTAAGGAAAAGTTCACAACCAATGAAATCAAATATGCCCCGATTGTCGGGGCGATAATTTCGGGCGTGAAGAGTTGGCGATTCGTTGGTTGAAGGTCAATATGTTTTTTTGCAAATACGCGCCTCTTTTTTCTATTTGCCTAAGTTGGTGTCACCTCTCTTTCCACAGAAAAAAACTCAGATAAATTTTGAAAAAAAGTGTTTTGAGTATGATTTATCTGATCCTTTTCTTCACTCTTTCTCGTGGCAATAAGACACACCACAATCCAATATCTTTATAGTTTTAGATTTCTTATCTTTTCCGTAGGCGTAACAGCTGAAGTTAACTGCCTTGTTTTATACATTGTCAACACATTAAAACACAAAACTAACAAACTCAAAATGATTTTCAGTTCCGGTTTTAAACAATGAAACGTTCCGACAATATTAATAGCGTGGCACTCCTCGCT